GGCTATGATGATTATTATCCGGGCCAATCGCCCCCCCCCCCCCCCTACCCCAATACATTCTACATTGGCTACAAGTCGGGGGCCAAGGGGGGTACTATCGTTCACTTGGGTCTACCAGTACGTGCCAGGAATGTCATGCAATTCCCCGTCGTTTGGGCCACTCAAGAATGCCCTTCTCAATCTCCACCCACCCCGGGCCGGCGCGCACGAGGTACATAGTGACGCCCAACGACTCGGTATCGCGGTTCCGGCTCTCGTCGTCAAAGAAGAGCATCTCTTCATACGCAACCCCCGTCCTCTTGCGTATCGCCTCAAAGTGCCGTATCTTGGTGCTAGGGTACATCTCAAGCCCGCCGTCGAAGAACTCGACCGCCTTTCTCGGCTTGTCCTTCTTCTTGCTGCTGGCCCCCTCGGCCTCGTCGCCTGGCGGCACGGGCGAGATGTGCAGCATGCGCAGCAGGTCGCGCGCGAGGTCCGGCGCGTGGGTGCGCGAGGCGACGGCAGTGCGGACGCCGGCGCGCGACAGCGCCGCGAGGATGGCGGGGACCTCGGGGTAGAAGGTGTAGGTGTCGCCGTGGCGGTCCGTGGCCGACGTGTGGGCGGCGTCGGCCTTGAGGGGCGGCGCCACGTGCGTGTCGATCCAGAAGGGCCAGAGGGTGTAGTCTAGGTCGAAGACGATGAGGGTCGGCAGCGGCAGGCCGTCGGAGAGGATGGCCGGCGTCGAGGGCGGGGTCGAGGAGGTTGTGGAGAGGGTTGTTGTACTGCTGGCGGCGGGGTGTTTGGAGAGCTTCTTTGGCATTTTGGCTTTTCTTTATTTCGTTTTCTTGGGGGTCCCTTTATTTTGTGCTCTCTCTTCCTTCTCTGCCTTCGCAATTGGGTGGCGCGTCGTGAGGTTGAGGATGCTGAGGATGCGATTGCGATTGCGAAGAGAGCTGTGTTGCCCCTCCAGATCGTCAGAGCGAGGACCCTGCACGTCACTCCGATGACATAAGCGTGGGTCCTCCACTGCACTGAATAACAGACAATGGACGGACAAGGGTCGCTACAATGTCGAGCTCGTTATGCGGAAACTCCATCGCCAATACCACAGTCAACAAGGATGACTTGCCGACATCGGTTGCCCTCGTGTGACTGCGCTCCTGACTTCACATGCACACTGTCGATAATTCGCCAATCGCCGACACCAATTGAATCTGTCACACGAATCCTTGTTGCTATCTGAGGGATTCCCTGGCGCAATCTTCCCGTGCTATCAATCAAGCAAATCATCGATCAGGCAATCACTAGCCGAGATCGTCGGTATCAAGAAGTAACACTCGTCGAAACGGGGTACGTCAGCCTCGGGGGTTCTCCTGAGTGTGCGTCCTCCAAGCGAGCCCAGACCAACGCCTCTCTCTCACCTCACGCATCCAACCGTACCCTGCGCGCACTGCCATCTCTCTCCCTCGGCCCTGCGGGCGTGATGTCAATCTCTTCGCTCGTTCGTGTGCCATTTTCCGGAGCGCCATGCGAGAGGCTATGCCTCTCGTAGGGTGGGAACAAGAACCCTCTCCCACCAAGGGCCGCGCCTTGGACAGTACGAGACTTCCGTGAAAAGTCGGCTGTCGGTCGGATGGCCCCTGAGAAGGTGGCTATGTGCTCCACGGTGTCGCGGAGCTCTTTGAATCCTGGGACTCTTCTGATAGCAGACTGAAGATTCGGTGCCATTGTGTATTAATTTTCAACTTTTTTTTTTCCTTTTTTTTCGGTGTTGCGACAGCCACAAGTTCACAACTCTTTTCGCTGACTTTATTATCCCTGAAAGCACTCTGCTGGAGGACTCATGAATCGGGGACGACAAAGGGTTAGCGGTGTGGTGATGAGGCTGCGGGCTCTTTTTTTTTGGTGGTCTAGCTGCGGCGCAGATCATGCGACGCCGACTGCTGGCCGGATCTCGGCTACTCCTCCAGAGAACATTATCGATCGCGGTAGTTGCTATTGTGCGCTTTCGCCGCCAAGTAAGAAATAGAATGTCACGGAAATCCAGCCGAGTTTTGTTGGTGAAATCGGCCTTTCTGGCCTGCTCAAGCGTTGTGGCTGCAAGACAGCATGTGGAAACGCAGCGTCTGTCTCTCCCGTTTTTGTTGGCGGCTTCTTTTTTCTTGCATATTTCCTTGCCGCTTCGGCAAACTGAGAATGATGCTCAGACCCTGCTGAATTCTCAGCTGCCGTCGTACGGAGCACCGGGGTCGAAAGTCATAAACAGACTGAGGTCGACTAGAGAAAGAAAGCCTGCTCCTGTCACTCCGACGAACCCGCGTCGCTTGTCGATACGGTAGCCAGCCCGTCGACAGGGTTGTCTCGGCGAACCACGGGTCGAGACAGGAGCCCAGCAGTGTGCCGGCTTCGAGGCTTCGATACAGTGGGAAAGGTCGGATAAGAAAACGAGGCAAGTCGGAGTTTCGGAAACTGCGAAGCTGTCTTTTTATAGCTGTCGAGCGCTACGTCCAAGGCACCTGGCTGGCCATGATGCTCGAACGACCAGCAGGGTGTCGAGTCAAAGTGGTCCAACAATGTTCTTTCGGCACCTTTATGTACTGTGCAAAAGGCTAAGCGTTCAAGCAGAGAGCAACAGCTCATTTGGTCAAGAAGGATGCCAATCTTGTAAATGAAAAAGAAATACCTGAAGTTACGACACGCAGCATTTTTACAATGCAAGCTCAAGACATGACCCCCTGCCATGCTTCAAGCACGTGGATGTACAAGGAAACAGGCATCAGCAGTTTGTTTCCTACTCGTCTTACAGCCAATACCATAACTGAATGGCATCTGTTGTATCCCGAATCACTTGCTTTCCAACACCAATCTCTGTATCTCGACGCACGCGGTAGAGAACCGAAAGACCATCTCTCTCATCGCGGAGCCAGAAAATCTCTCGCGCTCATGCCCGGGTTCCCAGAGACAAAGCCGTCGTTACGAGCTATGAATGCCCTGGCTAAGGCATCCCTTCCCCTCTCCTTCGCCACCAAACACATCCTCTACGAATGAACGGCTTCGGGTGAGAAAGAAAACCGCCCCAATGGGCTCTGGTACGAAGATTTCTCTGGAGGGAACCATACATGGCTCGCAAGTACCTGGCGCACCATGCAAGCACTTCAAAACTAAACGTTGACGGTGGGCTCATACGATCACGCTCACTTGTCTCGAATGCGAAAGCTTTGAGACCGCAAGTGTATTTCTCAGCGCCGTGTCAAAAGCTATCGCAGGCGCAGAAGTGTTGTGTGACCGACGCTACAATGGCGACAACGAATGGACTGACAAGATTATCGTACCTCGCGGCCTGATTATCCCTGCAGAGGCTAGAGATGCTAGCCAACACAAAGCCAAAGATGGCCGACTGGCTGCTTCAGAAAAAGGTTTTTGCTTGCAGGGAAAGAAGCTTTATCCTGCAAATCTTTGTCCACGAAGGTTCGAACCGTGTTTGGGCCGTCTGACCGAGTACCAGTGATGAGCTTGGTGCGGGTTTCATGGCAGCCAGTGGCCAGACAATTACTTGTTCAAGATGATACAGTTTGTATTCTCTGTAGGTGGAAACCTCAAGTCGACGGTTCGAGGGAAAGATGGAAACGCCACCATGAGCACCCGCGAGGACAACTTTATCATATTCGGGATTGAATGGTCCCCATCAACAGGTAGAATTACATAGATAAAAGAAAGACAAACACAACACAATGCATGGATCAAGGGCGAGGCGCTGATCGAAAAGTTCCGAGCACGCGATATGACGGCGTCTTGTACGCAAGACGTCCACATCAGGAACACATTCGATATGCAACCCTTCGGGCTTCGTGAGCCATCCGAGCTTCGCCAAGACTAAACCCAGAGTGCACAGAAGTTACACGCCCTCTGGCATGATCAATATACTGATCGTGTCTCCGGGCTCTCAAGATAAGCGGCATCACAATCACGAGAAGCCATGGTGATGCAGTGATCAGACCAAACTCCAGGGTTATTGCAACCCAGATATAGTAGAATGCAGTCGATAAATCGTCTCCCCCAAACGGCCCAAGCCACTTTCACTGCGACCATGACTTTCACGACCGGTTCCGGAAAGTCACCCACCGGCGTCACGGAATGCGAGCTCCGTGAATCTCCTTCAAGCTCAGCCATTGGCGCCAACGTCGCAGCCGCTCGTCCGGCCCCGGTCAATACGGCAGTTTGCATGATGCCAAGGGACATAGCGACTTGCTAGGACCGGCGCCATCTCATATCTGAAGGCTTGGCTACGGAGCATCCGGAACTCAGCCGCGGGGGATTCTTTCGTCCCATGCTGGTTGGCAAGCGGGGAAATCTGGGGTCGAGCGGACAACCCTGGTCTCAATGGATCGGATGTATAGGACAGAATGGTTTTTCGGGACACAATGATCTTCAAAGGACAGTCCGGGCGGTAGATGACCCATGTTGATATTCGGAGTATTTCGTGTACTGCCTAAAGTCGCCGCAGACCTCAAGATGAAAGCTGGCACACCACCGGGATATTTGCTGTGTCCTGACGGGTCGCGTGAAACCTGTCACAGTAAAAGCCGGAGGTTTATGCTGTTCGCCGCTAGAGATCGCCGCCGAACTGACCCTTAGAGTCAAGCTCCCATGGCAAGCATCTGCTGATGGTGTCTGTGTAGAGGTTCGTGGAGGCAACCCATATTAGCCTAAATGTCAAGAGGCTCCCTTCCACAATGTCTCTGACCAGAGAATATCCAAATGAAGAGAACCATGTTCCAGCAGCAATGGTAACGGTCATGAAGAGAAGGCGAGAAGGCCCCGAGAGCCCGTTGGATGACCACGTCTTGGAACCAGAAGGGCCCCTCCAACAATAACAGTTGGAGTATAAAGACGATGGATCACGTTCCATTGATACACAGCTGAAGACAGAGCCTCGCCAGCAAACGAATTCTCAATTATTCTCGCTCCAGACCACCCGTCATGAAGACTCTCGCAGCGACCCTCCTTTTCGCTGCATCGGCAGCGGCTCAGGCTGGCCCCTGGGCCCAGTGCGGCGGCCAGGGACACACAGGTGCAACGACCTGCGTCTCGGGACATTACTGCAGCGTCATCAACCCCTTGGTATTCGCAGTGTCTGCCCCGGCACAGCTCCCGGCGGCCCCCCTCCTCCGCCACCCACCACTCCCGTCCCTGCTCCACCCCCTGTGACGACTGTCAGCCCTCCGACAACAACCCCTCCAACTGCGCCGCCGCCGGTGACACCCGGCACATGCCCTGCTCTACCCAGCGCCTCGGTCCCGCAAACGCGAACCTGCCCAACCCGTTCGTTTTCCAGAACGGTGCCGCTGTCACAACCAAGGCCGATTGGGCATGCCGCCAGCGCGAGATCAGCGCCCAGATTCAGACCTACGAGCTGGGAACCCTTCCCGGGAAGCCGCAGTCCGTCACGGGATCATACTCGGGCACCCGACTGACGATCAACGTCTCAGACCAGGGCCGGTCCATCTCCTTCGCTGTGACCATCAACAAGCCCAGCGGCACGAACGTGCCGCCCATCATAGCGTATGGTGCTGCCAGCATCCCGATCCCCGCGGGCGTCGCCACCATCACCTACAACAACGACGAGGTCGCCCAGCAGCAGGGCGGCTCCTCGCGCGGCCGCGGCAAGTTCTACGACCTGTACGGCAGCTCGCACAGCGCCGGCGCCCTGACGGCGTGGGCCTGGGGCGTGGCGCGCATCATTGACGCGCTCGAGGCGACGCCGGCCGTGGGCATCAACGCTGCGCGCGTCGGCGTGACGGGCTGTTCGCGCAACGGCAAGGGCGCCATGGTGGCGGGCGCGCTCGAGCCGCGATCGCGCTGACGCTGCCGCAGTATCCGGCCGCGAACGGATCGCCCTGCTGGCGCATCGCCGACTGGCAGAAGCAGAACGGCCAGAACGTGCAGACGGCGTCGCAGATTGTCGGGGAGAACGTCTGGCTCGGCACGGCCTTCAACACGTACACGAGCAACGTGCGCGCGCTGCCTTTTGACCATCACATGCTCGCCGGTCTCGTCGCGCCTCGCGCGTTGTACGTCATGGAGAACTCGGACATGGAGTGGCTCGGCTGGACTGCGACATACGGCTGCATGGGCGCTGCAAGGAAGCAGTGGGAGGCTCTCGGTGCCCTCGACAACTTTGGCTACAGCCAGGTCGGCGGAAATTCGCACTGCTCGTTCCCAGCGGCCAAGCAGGGAAGCGAACTGACAGCGTTCATCAACAAGTTCCTGCTGCAGTCGGGCGGTGGCACGACGAGCATCTTCCGGACGGAGAAGAACCATGGCAGCTTCAACTTGAACACGTGGGCTTCGTGGAGCGTGCCCACTCTGACGTAATGACTTTGCATACAGTGCTTCGAACATTTTGTCACATCAGGCAGCGTTGCCAGCGGCTGGAGCATGTGAAGGACCGGGGTTTGTACTTCACTCTGTGAGTGGCATGAAGATGGAGCTAGCGTGTAGCCGCGTTTGAATAACACTGGTATCTGTGCGAGTGACGCCTGAATAACGTGGACATTTGTCGTTCATCGATTCCGCGATGAGATTGCTCTTGAGTTGTGGTTTCGTGATGTTCGATATTGTCTTTCTGTCCATTATGCAGAACCCAGCCTCGTCTCATGTGTCCGCGTGTAAGC